GAGGGGCCAGCAGAGATAGGGAAAAAAAAATTAAAGAATGGACAACTCAAGTATAGCCAGAGATAAGTATGCTTGCTCAAGTTACAAGTCTTATACCACAAGATCATTCCTACTTTTCTTAATTTCCTTTGCCTTTTTTGCCTGATCCTGCTTCAACCATCATTTCCATCCACTTTAACTTCACTATAATGATCATTCATCATCCTTTAAATCTTTCCTCTTCTACTCCCACTCAACCCCACAAACTGATTCAATCCTTTGAACTTGGATAGATGACTCATGCTCCAGTAAAAAGTAACATAAAGCAATAAGTGTTTGCAAAAATGAAAGTCACTTCTAAATTATATCAACCGACTAAATTTATCCAGAATGTAACAAATTTTCTACTTAGGCTAAAAGATCTTTTTATAGAAAATAAATATATTCTGTGTTCATAAATTACAGGTGTTGGTTTATTAAATAGAAAATATTTTGTTTCTAAATGTAAATAGAAATTTTATTGTAAATAAATTGTTTCAGAAGACTCCAAATGAGAAAGGTTTGGTTTTTTTTCATAAGTATAAATTAAAGGTAGAAAAGAACCCAAAAGACTCAAATGTCACCATGGCAAACATCTGCATTCAAAACAAGTGAGTTTAGAACATGTTTCTCACTTTCAAAAAATAACAGTCCCTAGTGAGTACAAATCCCTGAGTTCAAACTCCAGTACTGCAAAAAAAAAAAAAAAAAAAAAAAAAAGGGCTGGTGGTGGGTTCAAGTGATAGTGCTGACCTACCAAGTGCAAGGCTCTGAGTTCAAAACCCATACTGGGAAAATAAACTTTCTTTTGAACTTGAGCAAATTAATTTTTTTGCTTAGGTTTCACATACCTTCTCATTCTTTTTTTTTTTTTTTTTTTTTTGCACATTCCCTATTTTAAATTTTTATTTTAGGTACAACTCTTTTAAAACTTTTAATGAGAGAATACTTTCAGGTTTTTATCAATTCCTCTTTCATCAATTTCCACAGTAAAAGAATATGGCATCTTATTTGTTTTGGAAAGGAGATTTTTAAAAAAAAAGACTACTATAGAAATATAATGCAGAGGCTTTGTTTTCATTTAATCTTCACAATATTACAAAATACAAAATGTTTGAAAATTCTTTTGAGACTCAGCTTAAGCAAAGAAGCTCCCTCTCTTTCTTCCCCCCACTTTTCCCCTCCCCCACATCCCTCTCTCTGTCAGTCACTTCTACTTGTCCTCAGTTGCTTCCACCTTTTACACATATTTCTTGTACAGCCTTGTTTCAAAATTCCAAATACTTAAACATTGAGAATGGAAGTGACTCCTTGATTTGCTGTACCTAAGAGTGAAAAAGCCCAGTGTGGCAGCCTAAACATTCAAAGTATTCAAAGAATCAGAATCAGATACAAAAGCAAGAAAAGACCTCTGAGCACTCCAACCCCTTTTTTTTTGCAGCCAAACAACTAGACTCCTGGAGAGCCAATGGACAGCACATCAAGCTTTTCTGATTCTACTTGATGTGCTTTGCACAACACTTCCACACTTTCTTTTGAAATAAAAAATACATAGATTCACATTTTATTGTCTACACACACAATTCTTTATACAATTAACAAAACAGCAAATAATGTTTTCCCAGAACCGCATTTATTTTTTCTTTGGTGGTTCTGGGGCTTGAACTCTGGGCCTTATACTTGCTAAGCAGGGGCTCTACCACTTGAGCCCCTCCGCCAGCCCCCCAAACCACAATTTGACATATAGTGATTTCACTAAAATGAGGGTCAACAAAAAATGGCATTTCATAAATAAATATTTCTACAGTGGTGCATGTGAAGATTTACAATAGATTTCTGAGATTAAGCAAAGTTTTTCCCTTGATACTCTAGAATGATTTGCTCATTAAATGAGGACCATATATACACACTTGAGTGTATGTCAAATGCAGTAGTTTCCCTTAGCCTAGATTTTTCTAATATTACTTCATATATCTTCTGACCCTTGTCTATCTCTCTCTAGCATATGGATTTAATTCTTTCACTGATGTATAAGTGGATTTATGTTTTAAGAATTCTTTTGTTTTGAAAACATTTATTGCATTCGAAACGAATAATTTTTAAGCCTGTCATCAGTGGCTAATGTCTGTAATCTTAGCTACTCAGGAGGCAAAGATCAGGAAGATTTCGGATCCAGGCCAGCCCAGGCAAATAATTCAAGAGACCCAATCTCAAAAATATCCAACACAGGGCTGGGATGTAATTCGGTGGTACAGCACTTGCTTAGCATGTGTGAGGTCCTGGGTTAGATCCCAGCACCAAAAAAGAAAAAAAAAAAAAAAAATCCAACACAAAGAAAGGGCTGGTGGAGTGGCTCAAGCGGTAGGACACCTGTCTAGCAAATTTGAGGTCCTGAGTTCAAACCCAAGTACAACAACAACAAAAAGAATTTATAAGGAAAATCCCTTTATATTTCTTATATTTTACCTTATTTTAATCTTACTTTTTGCAGTGCATGCTAAGCAGGTGCTTTGCCACTGAGCAGTCCTTGTATTCTAAATCGTTAACTCTCCCACATTGACTTTATTTTTAAACTTTTTTGCGCTAGTCATAATCGCATATTATAAAATTCTAAAATCTTAAATGTTTAGCTCATTAGTTTTGACAGTATACTCATTTTTAAAATCATAATTTAAGTTATTTTTGGAAGCAAGGAGAGAATAAATGAATAGTTAGTTGATTCATTCCTGAGTTGATCTGTGATAGTGTGGCAGGGGCAATAGGAAGACAAATTTTAGGACTAGGAGTAGGGAGATAAGACATTATAACGTGGGCTGGAGTGTTTAAACCCAAGTACCACCAAAATGAACAAAAAAAAAATCATATAGATAAGCATGACTAAGTTTATCCAAAAAGGTGGGCAGCAAGACTGGCAAAGGGGCAATATAAAACTCGTATTACCATCAAGCCGAGAAATAATCAGTATGAGAAAGAAGAGAAAAGAAGAATGATTGAGGAATCCTCTTACACTCTATCAGTGTTCAATAAACATTTACTTAACACACATTGTTCTGAGCCTACTTTGAGTCAAGCATAGGTAAGTCAGATTCCCTGTCCCCTCAAAGCACAGCCTCAATAGTATTCAGTCAACTCAAACATTACACAAATCTACCGGTCATGGCAGTTTACACCTGTATAATCCCAGCTACTTGGGAGGCAAGAGGGAGCTACTTGGGAGGTAGGAGGATCTTAGTCTAAGGCCAGGTCAGACAAAGTTAGTGAGACCCTACATAAAAAACAAACTAAAAAAGGAAAAGAAAGGGCTTGTGGAGAGGCTCAAGTGGTAAGGTGCTTGCCTAGCAAGCAGGAGGCTCTGAACTCAAACCCTAATACCATATGCGCAAAAAATGTTACCCAAACCCTTAAACTTCTGTGTAATTTTAAAAATTACACAACTAAAAAAATGAGAACATTACTGCAGTGATAAGTAAAACAGATCTACTTTATAGGTCAGCTGGTTATTTACTGGCTTCTTGATGTAATTAAATTTGAAAAGCAATGAATTGCCTAAGAGTTACTGTATTTCAAATAGGTTGTAAATATATTTCAAATTAGTTATACACCTTAAAAAGTTTCAAAACAGTATAAAGCATACTGTAACAGTCCTGAATAAAACCTGTCTTCACCATGTCAACTTCTGACTCTGGTTTTCTTATTTCTACCTACCCTAAAATCCATCCAAGAAAAACTGATTCTCAGACTTCAAGAAGTCAGTTTGTCTGACTCTATCAAATACAAAAACACCTATTTAATTCCCTATTTTTAAAGTGGTTATTTTATGTTTTAAAAATCCTCACCTAAGGATTTTTGAGGTATTGAATTTCATTTTGGTTCCTTAGGTTAGAAGTCAAATAAAATATCACACAAAAAAATCCAACATCAATTATCTTCTTCCTGTTCAAACAGTCCCTCTGCTACATTCTTCCGCAATAGAAACAAGTTTCAACAAACTTCAAGTTTATTGATATGATTCACCCATCAGCAAACATATCAGTATCCACAGAGGGTCAAGAATTGTGCTAAGAACTGGGTGTCTGTGGCTCAAGCCTGTAATCCTAGCTACTCAGGAGGTGGAGATCAGGAGGATCAAGATTTGAAGCCAGCCAGTGCAAACATGAAAAACTACAAATAATAAGTCACATGAATAATAACATGTGGAAGAATATACCAATGTAGAATTAATATATTTTCATTATCTGATTGAAAAAGCACCATGTTTAGAATGAAACTAAAAGTAGACAAGGTATGTAACTGCATATTTGATTATTTAAAGACAACTAAAAAGGAGACTATAAATTCAAAAATAGGTTACTAAGACTTTATGTTTTTCTAAGATAACTATTTAACAGACAAATTTCTCCAATGAAAATATAAACTTTTTTGGTTTTGGTGGTATTGGGGGTTGAACTCAGGGCCTCACACTTGCTATGGAGGTGCTCTACCACTCTGCCAGCCCTTTTGTACTGGCTATTTTTGAGATAGGATCTTGCTTTATGCCCGGACTGGCCTCCAGCAATCCTAACAATCTTCACCTTCTGAGTAGCTGGAATACAGGCTTAGGCCCAGCTATACTTATTGATTACCCCATTTATCGCTATTGCCACCCAACATTTACTATTAGCCTTCTACTATGAACCCACAAACACCTTTTCTCCATACCAAAAGTGATGTAAAGAAATTGAGACCCTCAATACTTTTGTTTTTGGCAATACTGGGGTTTGAATTCAGGGCCTCATGCTTATTAGACAGGAGCTCTACCATTAATTACCTTAGAATTATGAACCTAAAAATTAGCCAAGTAGTAGAACTCTTACTCTCCAAAAGTTATTTCATTCAATTTAGGGAAAATAGCATTAAAAAAAAAATACCTTCATTTTTGTTTAAGTGGTATATAAAATTAATATACCACTAAAACTAAACGTTCTTTCTTTTTTGGTGCTAGGGATTGAACCCAGGGCTTCACAGGCTGAGCATTTTGCTTTTACCACTGAGCTACACCCCAGCAAAAATAAACATTCCTAAATGTATTCTTTGGTGAAAGGGGTAATTAAAAATTGAAATAGCTATAAAATATTAATACAGTTTCAAAGAGGAATGTTAGAAATTGTTTATCAAAAACTAAAGGGACCCAGGATTAAAGTTACTAACACTCATACCAATTAAGTTAAATGTTGAGGAGTAATCAGAAAAACACAGACGTCAAGAGTGGCAGAACTACCGGTCTCTCAGTCAAATTAATTCTTTTTAATATGCAAAGGTTAAAGTTTTCTCTTTAGGTTATTAAACTGTTCTTTAGAGAGCTATATTAAGATATTACTAACAATTTCAATTTATAAATTTGGACACACATTTTACTTCAAAAAAAGGTCATAACCCAAATACAAAAGCAATGAATAAGAGAGAAATAGGCTTAAGCTGATTTTTTTCTTTCTCAATTATTACTACTCAAACAAAACAAAAAAGAAATCTGAGAGGTTGCCAGAACCCCGGAAGGCATTTCCGCATTGAAACAGTTAAAGGGCAGCCGGGCCAGTGACCATTTGCAAGCCTCCTAGGTACATTCCCCACAGATTAAAAGAACTGCAAACAAACTGGGCTGAAACCTTTCTTTGTCCAAACCCAGCCTCTTCTTCCTGTGATGTCACATTACAAATCTAGGGAGCCTTTCTTTTTCACTTCACAGAAAGCCCTTCTCATAATACAGCTGCTAACTGTGAAAGAGGCAAGGGCCATTTCAGCAAGAGCTAACATGCTTGGGAATTTATTTTTGAACCTTTAAAAGACTCGTCTACTTACCGCCATTTGGGATTCACTGCAGGAATACCAAAAAGGAAAACTTCATTTAAAAGAAGGAAGAAGTAAGAGGACGAATTAGGAATGTTTAAGCCTCTGAAACGCTGTACTGAGAATCCAAGTGAGATTGATAACTTAAGCTTCAACATTCCGGAGCAGAAAGAAACTTTCATTTTGGAATATTCATCTTGATTTCTGCAATACAAGTTTGCCAGAGTGCTGTGTTCCATCTGGAGACACAGCTTTTCTTTACATTCGCAATCCTATGGGTTGGCTTCATTGACTGAACTTTCTGTCAGTTAACAAAGCCCTGGCTTCATGGATTTCTCTGGAGACTAGAAAATGAGAATATTTTCCGGCTGAAGAACGTACTGGAAACTTTCCAGCAACAAGTTTCATGCTTCTTTCAGAGGAAAAGAAAATATTTATAATACCACCCAGAGATCCAAATAACTGGGTGTTGCTGTGGCCACAATCTGAATACCAAAGGAGACTGACTGCAGCCAAAAAGGACCTCATCCAAGCTGGACTGCCTTTATCATGGTAAGCACTAACAGCTCCCATTGCTCCTACGATGACTCCTTTAAGTACACTTTGTATGGGTGCATGTTCAGCATGGTGTTTGTGCTCGGGTTAATATCAAATTGTGTTGCCATATACATTTTCATCTGTGCCCTGAAAGTGCGAAATGAAACTACAACATACATGGTTAACTTGGCCATGTCAGACTTGCTTTTTGTTTTCACTTTACCCTTCAGAATTTTTTACTTTGCAACACGGAATTGGCCCTTTGGAGATTTACTTTGTAAGATTTCTGTGATGCTGTTTTATACCAACATGTATGGAAGCATTCTGTTCTTAACCTGTATTAGTGTAGATCGATTTCTGGCAATCGTCTACCCATTTAAGTCAAAAACTCTAAGAACCAAACGGAATGCAAAGATTGTTTGCCTTGCCGTCTGGTTAACTGTGATGGGCGGAAGTGCACCAGCAGTGTTTTTTCAGTCTACCCATTCTCAGCGTAACAATACCTCAGAAGCCTGCTTTGAAAACTTCCCAGAAGCCACATGGAAAACCTATCTCTCAAGGATTGTAATTTTCATTGAGATTGTGGGATTTTTTATTCCACTCATTTTGAATGTGACTTGTTCTAGTATGGTGCTGAGAACTTTAAATAAGCCTGTTACATTAAGTAGAAGCAAAATAAACAAAACTAAGGTTTTAAAAATGATTTTTGTACATTTGGTCATATTCTGTTTCTGTTTTGTGCCTTACAATATTAATCTTATTTTATATTCTCTTATGAGAACACAAACCTTTGTTAATTGCTCAGTAGTGGCAGCAGTCAGGACAATGTACCCAATCACTCTCTGCATTGCTGTCTCCAACTGTTGTTTTGACCCCATAGTTTACTACTTTACGTCGGACACAATTCAGAATTCAATAAAAATGAAAAACTGGTCTGTTAGGAGGAGTGACTCCAGATTCTCTGCAGTTCAAGGCACAGACAGTTTTATTCAACACAACCTACAGAACTTAAAAAGTAAGATATTTGACAATGAGTCTACAATATAAGCTGGCTGAAATAAAACCACCGGGACTTAACTGGGATGGAACCGCAAGTTCCTTCAACTGTGACAAGTGTTCTCTGGGAAAAACTATTTCTCCATCTCCAAAAGAAAACAGACACATGGACATTTTAATGTTTTTAAAGAAAATTTGTATCCAATGTGTTAAGCATTAAAATATATTCTATTCTTGTATACATTCCATTTTATTTTTCTGAGCCACTTTAATGTATTCTTTCTTCATTAAAAAAACTCTAAAAATTTTAAAGTGATTATGATTTAAATGATGTGACTCCTGTACTTTCTGAACTCATACTTAATTTCACTGACTAAATTTTCATACTAAATGATTTTATACTGAATTTGAAACTCCTCTAAGTTTCAAATATTTAATATTTCACTCAACATACTTTAATTCATTTTGAATTAAAACTAACTAATCATTGTTTCTTAAACAATAAATGAGAAAGGAGAGTAATTTGAAAAGTCAGCTTTAGAGTATTTCCGCCTAAGATAACTAAAAATGTAACCTTCTGTAGAATAACGACACTACTTCAATATCTCGAGTAGTAATACGTCTAGGTAATATTTAAGGGTTTTGTCTTTGTAGGTAATTCATAAAAAACAGATGCTGCCTAACTATAGAGAACGCTTTGAAATTACTATTTTGATTCATTTTCTGACTATAACATCGAATATCAAAATAATATATGCCACAAAAATTTAGTAAGGAAACTAATGAAATGCTATTTTGCTAAGTAAATTATTTTAAAAGTAAAATGCTACCAGAAGGTATATTTTAAAGGTATACTTATGTCACGACAAAGACCTTGGAATTTTAATTGTGTTAGGTCAAAGAAACACCAGAAATAGTGAAATATAGTACTTCACACTTAGAAAGTGATATATAAGTAATTTTTAGTTTCCTTTCCTTTCCTGACCATTTTAAGCCAAGGACTGAACAGCTGAAAATGTTAAAATTGGCAAAATATTAGTGTATAACATAATTATTAAGTAAGGACACAGTTCCTCACACAGAAAGCAACCAGGCTAAATAACTAGACACAACTACACTTTCATTTCATGAAACATAAACGGTATGGCTTTGAACTATAGTTAAGAAAATAAGTACTGACATAAATGTTCATCTTAGAATAGATCTTTTTTCCCCAAATAAAATTCAAGCAGTTCTCTTTAACTAAAAAAGAATGCTTGTATTTGAGAAAAAACCACGTAACGGAATTTAGCTCTCAGCCACCTGGTTTTTACCATCTTAATCTTTCAAGTCCTGAATACAATTGGACAAATATTTTTAAGATGTAAACTTGATCTTTACTGTTCTCTGGGTTTGGGCTGTAATGATTTCAGGCAAATAACTATTTGCCAGATCAGGTAAATCTCTGCAATAAAATGACAAGTGGGGAGTTTCTTTAGGAACCTATGGCTTCCTTTAGGTAAGCCTAAAGCAAAATAAATTCTGAAAACAACAAAAACTAGTGAAGAAATTTAAGCATGATTCTTAGTATCATGAGACTGCACATACACGCACACACACACACACTGTAATAGGGTTTTCTTCAAATGACCTGAGGTTCCTGTATTTGATACCACACTTCAGAAAACACATTTAGCACTCTGAAACATATTTTTGAATTGAAAAGCAACTAATAGTGGACCGATCTAGAGGAAAGGACAGAGAGTTCTGTTAACTTTGAGATTTCTCAGAACTTTCCTGCATAAAGACGAGTAAAACCTAAGACAGATCACGAAGATGAATATGACTTTAAAATACTAGCAAATAGTCATCAAACAGTTGTTAGTACTAGCCTCACTAGAGAAATCTGTGTCGCCCTCGTCAACAGAAGGTTACATGGATCAAAAGTTTTGTAAGATTCTTCATAAACCAATATCATAACAGATAACAAACATTAGTTTTCTTATCTAGAACTTTAAATACTGAATAAATCTTACCTATATGGATGGAAAGAGTGCCAGAAAAAGTTATTTTTCTTGGTTAGTGTTGTACTTTAAGGTAAATTTTATATTTCAAGGGTTTTTTTCTTTCCCCTTTACTCAGAAAACCTGTATTAATATTAGAATGATGAGGATTTTACTTTTTATTTCCTTAAATTATATACCAAGTCCTCCCTGTCCCCTCCAAAACCTGTGCTACTATTTTTAACATTTTCAAAAAAGAGTAGATGATTTAACTAATCTTTCTGTTACCTTCCTTCAAAGAAACAGAGTAAGATCAGAAATTTTTTCAGGAGTAGAAATTGGTCCTGATAATTGGTTCTGAATTTAGAAATGATCTTTTCTGAGAAAATATCAACCAACTAGTTTACAAAATATATGTACTGGGCATAATATATCCACAGAAAATTAAAGAAAAAAACTTTATGAAGGAGTTATCGGTAAACTTTCATATTTACATTCAAAATACTGAAAATAAATTGGAAGTATAACTCCTAATTACACATACTGCCATTTAAAGAATAGGCTGCTCAGTTGAGGAGAAAATAAAAAATGGAGCAGAGTTCTTGCATCCTGAGGAATATATTTACGGGAGACAGGTAGCTGTTAAATGTGACGCCAATGCCTTCTGGTCAGGCAACTTTAGAACCTTGATGAGCTTGTCTTTCGTCAGGTATTAAGTGACTACGGCCACAGAGTCTTCACTACTTCCCAACACCCAAACTTTTTTAATGTCCACGTGCCAATCCAACTCCAGGTGTGACAAATGAAGGACGTGGAGACCTGGTGTTCTGAGTTGTGAACGAAGTTTTGCATAATTGTACAATTGTACAAACAGTGCTTACATGTGGATTAAGTCTCAAATTAATCCTAAACAGTGCAGACTGTTTTTTAAAAGTTTTTTTGATGAGGACTAGAAACTGAATTACCCATTAATAACATGACTTCTAAGCAGTAAATTCCAAATTCAAAAGGACTAATAAACTTCTGGCTATAGAAAACATTTAAATCGACCAATTATTTAATGATCAAAAATATGACTTAATTAGCAATATAAGATCAACCATGGACATACACTTAAAATTAAAAATTCTCAAATTTCAATTTTATCTCAAATTTTACTTAACTGTCTTATAGTTTTACAGAAGAACAGAGAATATCAATTGAAAATAAGAAATAAATTTTAGGCAAACTTCTCTACAAAGTCCTTCTACCTCTCTTCCTTTCAAAAAGATTTACTCCAGTAACCCTTTTTTCTTTTTTTTTTGAGGGGGAGGAGGTTTGAACTCAGGGTCTTGGGCTTGCTAGACAGGTGCTTTACCACTTGAGCCACAAGTAAATAGTTTACTACTAGTAAACCATTAAAAGGATAAAAACATAATTTAGGAGCTAAGGCCCCAAAATAGGAATAACTAAAGAATTTATCTTCAAACTCAAAATTTGCTTTACTCATACAGATTCAAACAATTGTGTTTTTTGTGGTACTAGGAATTGAACTCAGGGTCTTGCACACGCTAAGCGCTAAGCACACGCATTACTACTGAGCTACATTTCTGGCCCTGATTTTTGAGAATACAGTTAAAGTAAATGTTAGGAGAAACAAATATGTGTTGTAACTTACAGCTGAGTTAGTTAACAGCCATAGGGTGACTGTGTTGAGTTCCATTATCTTCTTACCAAAATGGCTTCTGGAAACTTCGTGATTTGAAACAGAAATGGTTTGGAATCATCTGATACAACTATAGCTGCTTAGGTTGAAGGCTAAGTAACTTGCGCAAAGTTACAAGTAAGAAGTTAAGGTAGAGTCTGGGTAAAAACTCAATTGTGTTGATTTGTCTGGTTCTTTAATAGTGGCAAGGGAAAATGACATGCAAAGGCTAGCACCAAAGCAAACAAATAAACAAAAACCCAAAACATTAAGGCATATGTATACAAGGTTATTCAGTGCAGCATTGTTTTAAGTTGTAATATGCTGGAAACCAGATGTTGAAACATAAAAGACTGGATGAATAAACTATAGTACACACACAATGTAGTGTAACTAACCATGTAGCTAAAACAATGAGCCCTTTCCTCTCTCTTATATGTAAGGTTTCCAGAAAGTGTTGTTAAATGGAAAAAAAAAGAAAAGAGTACACATAGTATAATACCTTTTGTGTAAGAAAATGGTTAAAAAAAAAAAAGCATATGTATGTATACCTGTTTATTTTTATAAACATAAATGCAGCAAAGATAAACTAAAAAACAAGGTGTAGGATGGTTAATGGGGTACAAGGAACATTGAAACATTTCTGAGTATACCTTTTTGTATAGTTTTAACTTTAGGAAGAATACTAATGTATTTATATCAGCAATAAGCAAACTTCCTCCCCTGCTCCCCTAGACTGAGATAGTAAATATTTTCGGCCTGCAGGCTGTACAATCTTGCTGCAACTTCTCAACTCTGCAAAGCAAAAGTAGCCACAATAGTAAGGTGGCAGTGTTCTGATAAACTTTTATTTTCAGAAACAGGTGGTAGACTCTTAGACTATATGTGTTACCTCCTGTTCTTCAGTCAAAACTGGTGGATCACACCTGTAATTGTAGCTACTCAGGAGGCAGCGATCAGGAGGATCCAGGTTTGAAGCCAGCCCCAGGCAAATAGTTCTTGAGATCCTATCCCAGAAAAAAATCCATCACAAAAAAGGGCTGGCAAATGGCTCAAGTAATAAGAGTGTCTGCTGGCAAGTGTGAGGCCCAGAGTTCAAACCCCAGTATCACCAAAAAACGAAGAAAAAAAGCAAAAACAAAAACAAAAAACTAAAGCAAAGGAAGAGAAAAAAAATGAACCTAGATCTTCATTTGTATTATTGTCTAGTGTATAACATTCTCAATAACTATTTATTAAATAAATGAATGTTTTTTACAAATTATTTTCATCAGCACATATTTTTTTTTGGGGGGGGTACTGAGGATTGAACTCAACCTCACATTTGCTAAGCAAATGCTTTGCCACTTGAGCCACTCCCCCATTCCTTATTAGCACATATTAACTGTACAAAGTAGGAGTCTCATTATGACATTTCCATATATGTATATAATGCATTTGATCATATTCATCCCTCTATTACTCTTTCTTATCCCTCTCCTCCTAAATCCCCCCTTCTTAACATTCTTCTAATTTTTAAAAATAGGTTTTATTATGACCTTTTCATACATGCACACAATAAATGAATCTTAAAGTTTTATTTAAAGAGGAACATGAAGTCGGGCACTGATGGCTTACGCCTGTAATCCTAGCTATTCAGGAGGCAGAGATCAGGGTGAACTG